TCCATCTATCTATCATCTATCTATCTATCTATCTATCTATCTATCTATCTATCTATCTATCTATCTATCTATCTATCTATCTATCATCTATCTATCTATCTATCTAATATCTACCTATTCATCTATCATCTATCTATCAATCATCTATCTTATCATCTGTCTAACCATTTTAGTTTCAAACTCAGTCTTCCTTAAAACCTATGTAAGCATTGACTGACATATGTGCTCCAATTATCAAAGACTTCAGTGACAACTTTTTGATTGAATATTTCCTCTCTTCAACTCAATGATATAGATAATAGGTAGATACTGGATAGACCTATGATGGATGAATGAATAGATAGGTAAGTTATAAACAGGTAGAAAACATCAGTCCTACCTTTCAGAGGGCAAGTTTTCTGTTTTTAGAGGAATGGATTATCATTTCAAAACACCTTATTCTTATTTTTTGAACTGCAGTTCATTTTGCAACTGTTGATAACTTATTTCTGAGGCTTGGTTTACTTGGTAAGAGTATTAGACAGTAAGCTTGTCAGTGGATGTAGGGCCTGAGACAAGATATGATTTTGCTTGTAATTTGCTATAATTTTATACAGTTATATTTTTTAATTTCTTGAGATTATTATATAATTACATCATTCTCCTGCTTTACTTTCCTTCCTTATAACCTACCCATGTTCCTATTTGCTGTCTTTCATATTCATAGGTCTTTGTCTTTAATTACTGTTACACACCCACCCACACCCACTCACACACACACACCATATCCCTAAGTACTAGAATACAATCTACCCAGTTCCTATAATGTTACTTGTATGCATATGTTTTTATAGTAATCATTTGACTATATTTTGAAATGCATAAACTGAAGCTACTTGACACTGTTAGATGATCAAGGCGAGAAAAGGATCAATGTACAGACTCTGAACTGTGGTGAAACAAAACTCTCCTAGGACTTAAAACAAAACAAAACAAAACAAAACAAAAACTCCTCTCCCTTGAAGAGTTTTATTTTACTCAAGTACTGATTTACTGTCACAGGATTGGGCTGTAATGTTGCAGCAGAACACAACACATAATGCGCCCTAATTACAGACGTAGCTTTTGATCACAAAGCCTTATGGAGATGGAATTTAGGACAATTTATTTTAGGGCTAATATAATCTTGAGAGCACAAGTCTTGCCTAAAACATAATGTAATTCTATGAGCAGTGACTTTCTATGCCAATTAATGATTTCAGGAATATTTACTAGGTGTCTCAAGTTCACAGGAAGTTTGCAGGACACTGGAGCTGTTTAGCGCAGTGGCGTCTCAGAAGCAATAGAAACAAAGGCAAAAGGAAATGCTTCATCCACCTTCATTAAGGAGTTTATTGAGCTGCTCATTTCAACAGCAGGATATAAAGAGAGAAAACAGCCCCTGGAAATAAATATTAAAAGCTCATCTCCGTAGACCTTATAGAGAAAGCAAGCCGAGAGCTAACAACCTTTGATACAGCTGGGGAGATGACTCCTCAGTTGGAAACATCCCAAAGAAAACCTTTCCAAGAAAGAAAGCTTTTTCTGAGAAAGAAAAGGAATTTTTCTCAAAACCTATTAAAAGACCCAGTGTGAAATAATAGAAAAAATTAAAGGATGCATCATAAAATGATACAGCCTGAGAAACCAGCAGGTTATCACAGAAATGGAAAAATACTACTTCAGTCATGTTAATAAAATGAGAAGTAAAATTAAACACTATAAATAAGATTTCTTGCAGTCTTTAAAAAGAAAATGGTTCTGATAGAATAGTTTTCCGAGGCTTAACTGTTTCAGATAATTCCTCTGTAAATCACATGAGGTCGTTCTGAGTCTCAGGGTAGTTTGGGTCTTGACATCTGGGTGCTGAGCTGTGTCATGGAGAAGAGCCTGCTTTATACAAACCTAATCAGGTCCAAAGCCTGGTCCTGCTTCCTGGTCCTGGTACTGCCGCTCTGTGATCCCCATCCTCTTCAGTGCCTTGACTCTTGGCTTGGACAATGTCCATTAGCTAGGAGCTGATTACATTGTTCATGGGGTTAGTAAGAAAAGGTTAGGAATTTGTCATTTATAAGCTATGACCAAAGTCACTCCTTATAGGTGCAATGAGTTTCTAATTAGGAGGAAGGGTATTGATAAGTACCTCTAACAATTTCCAGGGTCAAATAAATGTCTGGGAGACACATGGCTTAGCATTAAGTGCATACTTATCAGGGCCACACTGGGATGGAAAGATAAACAATCTTGCTTCACCTTGTTCGAAGCACATGGAATATATCTAGTGTCAGGTAAGTAGAAATTAACTTCTCTTGAACTAGTGTATATCAAAATACAAGGTAATTACTGTTGAAGATCGGCCATTACTATTGTGAATATTGTAAGCTGCTAATTTGCTGAACATTTGAGTGGATAAATACTACACATACCATCTTACAATTTCATATTATGAGACTACGTGGCCCTTTCTTGTGCCTTTTTTCTCAGTTCACAAGCTCAGCAACACAGCAGCACTGGTACATACCACAGCATCATAACACACCATCTCATGCTACATTTGGCGTGTTCTAGAATATTTCCAGAGACATTGATGCCCACACATGAAAGTTCTCACTTGGAACACAGCTACCTCCCCCAGGAAGAAATCTAGGGGAATTATGTAGAAGTGGAGCTTCTTGTCCCTTGTTGAAGATGACTGTGTTCTCATTGACCTAAGGGAGTCTTCAAGGTTTGAATTCTCCAGAGAGAGAGAGAGAGAGAGAGAGAGAGAGAGAGAGAGAGAGAGAGAGAGAGAGAGAGAGAGAGAGAGAGA